CAGGTTTCTTCAGGAGGGGTCTCACCACTGCATCCTTTAGGAGGAGCGGGAAGGATCCCTCCCGAAGAGAAGTATTAACTATCGTCTGAATCCAGCCACGTGTCACCTCCCTGCTGGTCGAGACCAGCCAGGAGGGGCATGGGTCCAGTATACAAGTGGAGGAACTCACCGCTCCCATGGCCTTGTCCACTTCCTCAGGTGTGACAAGTTGAAACTCAATCCATAAACAGTTGCACTATTGAGACTGCCATCTTGACTTTTTGGACCTTGGGGGCAATCTTAACTGAATTTCTGCTTCCATAAAATTAAAGCATTCTATGGAATCAGAAAAAATATTCACTTTTGCATTTTAAAAATAGTTTTGTATTTTAACCACAGCTACATATATATTTAATAATAACTAAGCATCAATTAACCTTTTATCTATTGTTTTCTTATTTTCTTGATTGCTGCACTCTTTCAAGGTGGCACAGTATATCAGCCAGTAACAGTGGTCACACCTCAAGGACAAGTAGTAACACAAGCACTGTCCCCTGGAACAATCAGGATCCAGAATTCACAGGTTTGTTCTACTCATTTCACAGAGTGGTTTAAAGTAGAAGAAGCCAGGATTTTAATAAGATGTGGAATAGGTTGTCTATACGATGAATTTATATATTTTTAATAAATGTGGGGAAAAAAGTAAAAGAGCATTTTCCTATACCCGGGATGGCGAACCTACGGCACGCATGCCTCAAGTGGCACGTGGAGCCATTTTTCAGGGCACGTGAGAGGCTTTATAAGAGCCTGGGGAGGATAAAAAGAGCCTCTCCTGCCCCCTGCCCCCGGAGGCTCTCTGGGGGCTTCAGGAGCTTCCCTGAAGCCTTCGGAGCATCAAAAATTGCCCCTATAGGCAAACCGGAAGTTCGGGAATGGACTTCTGGTTTCCTCGTAGAGTCGGTTTAAGCCCTCTGGAGGCTTCAGGGACCTTCAGGAGGCTTCCCTGAAGCTTCCGGAGGACTAAAAACGACCCTACGAGCAAACCGGACTTCTGGTTTGTTCGTAGGGCTGGTTTAAGCCCTCTGGAAGGCTCCTATAAAGCCTCTGGAGCCTAGTGAAGGCAAAAAAAGCGTGCAAAAAATGGGGGAGCGCCTGTCATGCATGCATGCACACTGGGGTGTGTGTGTCGCACATTGCATTATGGGTGCGGCATGCCTGCGCACGACCCCCATACGCTCCCCCTTCTTATGGCACGCGAACCAAAAAATAAAATAAAATTTCAGTAAAATTCCTTGTGCATAGAAAACATCTAGTGAGCATAGGGTTAGAACTTTTTCTCATAATTTGATAGCACTGAAATAGTTTTTGCATTCAATATGAAATAGTACATGTGTCACGCTCCTTCTACTTTTAATACAAAAGTTGTGCTTTTTAATTATTCTTGTGAAATATTAAGAATTTTTTGATGATGTTTATGGTGTTTTAATAAAGTTCTATTGTTTAGCTCCAGTTACAATTAAACCAAGATTTAAGCATCTTGCATCAAGATGATGGATCATCAAAGAATAAAAGGGGCGTTCTTCCAAAACATGCTACAAACGTGATGAGATCTTGGCTTTTCCAGCATATAGGGGTAAGAATTTATCTCAGTGATTGGGAACACTTTTTTTAAAAAAAGTTTCTTACTGATTATAATTTTATTTTATTGATTAATTGAATATGTGCCATCAATTTGGACTGAGTCTTCATGACTATACACACACATTTTCTCCAGGAGGAGGTGTTCCCAGTTTGCTCCTTCAGATCTTCCAATGGTGCACACATCGCTGCTGTAATTGACTCCCATCTGCCTTTTCTCTGGTCTTTTCTCTAGGACTTCACATACTAGTCAATAATTTAAGCTTGACCATTTGTACTTTGAGTGAGACTTCTGCATTGATTTATCCAACAATCCATTTCTTTGTTTTCTTGGCTATTTTCTCCTGTACCAATTTCATGAAGGACAATACTTTTTAAAGTCTATTTCTGCTATGGCAAACAGGTGGCATGCATCGCCATATTTGCCAGCACAGCAGCCCTCAGCTCTGGCACACATGTGCACGCCAGCCAGCTAATTTTCAGCCTTCCAGAGGTCTGGGAGAGGCTGTTTTCACCCTCCCCAGGCTTCAGGAAAGCCTCCAGAGCCTAGAGAGGGCGAAAAATAGGCCTGACAGGCCAACCAGAATTTCATTCCTTAACTTCTTGTTGGGCTGTTTTTTGCCCTCTCCGGGCTTCAGGAAAGCCTCCGGAGCCTGGGGAGGGTGAAAACTCGCCTCCCCCATGTTGGGGTGGGTGGGTTGCACGTGAAGGTGGGTGGAGCACGCGCATGCACACAATAGCGCACACAGACACAATTTTGGCACACCTTTAGAAAAAGGTTAGCCATCACTGGTCTATTTCTATGGTTCCACTTGATTTGTGAAAGATGAATCAGACTTTCAGTAAATGCTCTTAGGTAAACTTGTGATTTTCTGGTTTTATTTCATTTGTATCAGGATTTTTTTTAAAATCATGTGCTCCTTCAATCAGTAGTCTTTTGAGAATTATATTTAAGTTTCTGTCAGTCTAACCACTTCCTCAGGGTTTGGGAGAAATTCACTGTATAAAATGTTTAGCTGTATGCAGAAGCAGGATTGTTATGTGATTTGCTTTACTAAATGTACTCCATAGTCAAAAGGGGCCCCATGTGTTGTTAGTTTAAGATCATACATTTATCCTGTGATTTATGTAGTCATAATCAGCTTATTCATTAACTGAAAGTTCATATAAATGTTGCCACAAGTTTTTTATTTTATATTACATACATACTCTGTCTATCTAATTATAACATTTAATCCATGGGTACTACATAGTGCTGATGGTTTTGATTAAAGGAGACAGCATTGTACAACTTTTATTATATCCATAATGAAATGATATTTGTCATCAAATGTATTGTGGAAAAAAATTTTTACTGTCTCTCTAGCAGTGTCGTGCGGTGAGGTTTATGGCTGGTGAGGCACTGACACAGGGGTTTCAAATTTTTTTAGACTTGTGGACTTGAACTCCCAGAATTCCACAGCCAGGCATGCTCAGTTCCGATTTAAAGCGACAGCATTTATTTTTCTCCTTTCCAAAAAAGTTTTCCTTCATTCTTTTTCTTCTCCCTCCCCCTCCTTCCTCCCTCTCTCCCTCCCTCCCCCCT